AGGGTTTAGGGGTTTAGGGTTTAGGGTGTTAGTGTTTACATGGGGTATGAGTTTAAACAGGGTTTCAGGGTTTAAGGGTTTAGGGTTTTAGGGTTTAGGGTTTAGGGTTGGGTTTAGATGGGGTATGAGTTTAGGCTCAGAATTTGCTTAAACATTCAAAGGTAAAGCGTATTCCGCCAGTTTAGGGTTACAAGTATGGGTTTGGGTCCAGAAATGAGCGACTAGGGTGGTAAGGGTCTTCTTGCAGTCATGTCCTGTTTTTGAATCTTAAGCTTGGTTGACGTACAACGGCCCTGAGCCCGGTCCATGGCATATTTGGGCACGTATGGGATGCGGGACGCCTATACAGGAACTGTTGGTTTTATGACGAGGGTGATGATGATTCCAGGAAAAGTTGGCAACATAATTGCATGTGGTGTTCTTGCTGGTATCGTTGTGAGCAGTCCTATCATTCTGAGCAGTCACCAGTACTTTATACCATTCCGTCGAAAACGCACGGCCTCAATGAACTTGTCCGTAATCGCCTCACGGCAGGAGCAAACCCTAACACTCTTTTCACCAACATCCCGTGCGTCTGCACAGCTGATTTCACGATATTTCAAGACGTGAACAGTTCTCTACCTTGCTTTGCAATCTTCGTTTTCCCTGTGCAGACCCTCACCTATCGCACAAAGTGCTGGCTTGGTGGGCTCACTGGGTTCTGCACTACGGCTCTTCAAGGTTTCAGGATGGACCCCTAAACCCTGAACCCTAAACCCTAAACCCTATATCCCTTAACCCTGAACCCTAAATTTTCTAAACCCTAAACCCTGAACCCTACCCCCTAAAACCCCTAAACCCTGAACCCTAAATTTCCTAAACCCTGTAGCCTAAACCCTAAACCCTAAATCCCTGAACCCTGAACCCTAAATATTCTAAACCCTGAACTCTGAACCCTAAACCCTAAATCCCTAAACCCTAAACCCCTGTCAAGCTCAGGGCTTCGGGCTTGGATGTCCCTGGCGACTCGAAAATCAAGCTCGTCCACTCGAGCCCTAAACCCCTAAACCCTACCACTCCTACAAGAAATCCCCATCGTGGTAAGTTCCCTGGCCCGAAATAACCCTTTGGAATTGTCGTACGGTTAGGTCGCACACCAAACGGTAAAGGTTACCTACTCAGCGGCTATGACTTAGACTAGCTTGGAGATCCAGCAGGGCTTGTCGGGATTCGGGAGGAGGTTCGGGATTCCGGCCCTGGCGAAGTTCGAGTTACGGTCCATTTTGGGTTTAGGGTTTAGGGTTTAGGGTTTACGGGGGTTTAGGGCTTAGGGCGGGTCTTCTTTGGGAAGATATGGAGCCACATGAAAACACCTGCAGACGGTTGCCTTGGAGAGCAGCATGATGTGTTCCTCCCAGTCTGCCTGCACTTGAGCTTCTGGTTTAGGGTTAAGGGTTTTGTTTAAAGTTGAACTACGCCCCCTCCATCAAGCAGGGTTTAGGGTTTAGGGTTTAGGGGGTTTTGGATTTAGGGTTTACGGTTCTACTAAACCTTGAGACTATTCGGCCCCGTTGGTTCACCTCTCTAGCACATCCAGAATACCTGAACACAGCACCAGGATGGCTGGCGACCGATTCAGCTTTCATGGACCACATCCAGTAACCAAGACAGGTCATGCATAAGCACAATGTGGTCACAGTAACTAGATTGATCTTCGTCTCATGCTACAGGCAACAACTGCGATCTTGACTTGCGTTCCAAGGAAGTGAAAGAACTACGGGCGTTGACCTTACCACTGTTGCCCATGAGCTTGGTCGCACTTGTTGCGATGATGTCTCACGGGAAGGTGTTGTTGATGTCGCTAGCCACAGTGGTGGCGTTGCTGATGAGGTCGGTGTGGTGGGTGAACGGACTTAATGCAGGAACGGAATCCAAGTACATGTAGATTTCAGTAAGCTCCCATAAACCCCCAAACCCCAACCCAGAACCCTAAACCCTAAAACACCAAGACCTCCGAACCCTTAATCTCTAACACCTACTAAAACTTGGCTGTGATTCCCCTGAAATGAATCCTACAAAACCCTGGTCACGACTAACAAAGCTTACAAAGGCCTTGTAGCCCTCTCTCGTAAAAAAAACTTGCGCAAACGTTACACCTTATAGAGGCCGCCCAACATGCTCATGACCCTTATGACAAAACCGCATAACAGACCCATCCAAATCATGTCTCATGAAGCCCTGACAAAAAGCCAATGTAGGACCTTCACTAAAAAAAGCTTACCCTCACACACCTAATACGATACCTACGTACCCGAATACCTTTACAACACCATCACACAGCCGCTACGACCCTTCAACGCCTTCAAGACCTATGTGAGCCCTTCAGTCCTCGTCCTGAACCCCAACCCCTAACTAGCACTGAAACATTAAAGACCCTACGATCCCTATGGAACACTCGTGGGACCTAAAGTTCTGAACCGCCGCCGATCACAACCCCAAGCCCCTAAAACCCATAGAATGTCCCTAAACACCCCTATACTAAAGCCTAACCCTAAGGGTCCATGTACCCAAATAGTATATACTTTGGCCCCAAAGTGCCTATATAGGGACTACTTTCAGGGCAATGTACATACTATACGGGCACATGGAGCCTTAGGCTAATTAAGGAACCCTACGAAACCCTATTAAGGTATATAGGCCCCGATATTCATCCCCTCCTCCCGGAAGTCGTTCAGCCGTGCGAGCCAACCTCGGTCCAAATTTTTGGCTTTGTTTAGGTTTTCGGGCTCAGGGCTAAGAGGTGGGCTTCATGCGGTGTTTGAGGAGGGTTTGCAGCAGGGTCTCATGTATTGTTTTGTAAGGCCTTGAGAAGGGCTCTTATCAGGACGGCTGTACAAAGACGTCAGAGGTTAGTATGTCTGATTTGTTCATGGTGGCTTCATCACGACTGTACAAGGGCTTTGCAAGGGCTGTCTACTAGAGCATGCCTAGCGTGGGCTAAAGCAGGGTCTTCATACAGGTTGAGGGAGTCTTATGACAATACTTTTGGGGACCCTAAAGTTAAATACTTAAGGTATAGGAGTTAGGATTAGGTGACCGTTGGGGATAAAGGCCCTCTCAATAAGGTCCCCTTCTAAGAGAGGCAAAAGTGGAGTTAAGAAGGGTCTCCTTTAAGGGGCCTCCCTAATACTACCTAGGATAAGGACCTATGCATTCGGCTTGAATTCCAGCGCTTCGACATTCACTCCGGCAGCTTCTATCCGTCAAGGGTTGGGGATAATCTACTTGAAGAATCTTTTGTTAAGACTTGAATGAACCCAAACCCTACTAGTTGTGCCAATAATTTGCTTTCCGCAAGTTCCTCTAGGTTTAACACACCAAGCCTACATCTCTCTCACATATATGTATATACATATCTACATCTGTAATCATATAAGTGCATATATATATATATACACATCTACCTTTGTAGGCATGTACATATATATATATATATATGTGGCATATAGTTCTGGGTTCTTAAACCTAGATCTAGAAATGTATACCCTAAACCCTAAACCCTAAACCCTGCAGTGGCCTGGTCTGATGCATGACAAGGCACGGAAGAGCTCTGAAAGAGGTTTGCTCCTCAGGCCAGGGTAGTGATGGTTGGAGGTTCGGTTTAGGGTTTAGGGTTGAGGGTTTAGGGTTTAGGGGTTAGGGTTCAGGGCTTACTTGGAGGTTCATGGGTAGTTATAAGTAGGGTTATAACTAGGGTAACTATACTTATAACCCCATATTAGGGGACTTATGACCCCATCTTATAACTACCCATGAACCTCCAAGTACGGGTTTCGAATTTCTACGGCACTTCAAGAAGGGGATTTCGGGTCTTATAGAAGATCTAGGTAGGGGGTCGAGTCCATTTCAAGGTCTAGCTCACTATAGATAACCTTGCTCTTGTCCAGCTTGGTCTCTGAGCCGCAAACCACAAGGGACCAGACAGGAAACTAATGACTAGTTGCAAGTCGGAGTTTGGGGGGCCCTGTGTTAATCATGACGCGATGGATTACACATGCAATGCGCATAAACATTTACGGCAGGGTCTGGGTGGTATGATCCTTACACGAGCATTGTACTTAAGCGAAATCTGGAGGCTCCTCCGTTGCGCTTTGCGCAGGGCTTTCGGAAATAAATTCCGAGGAAACATGCCATTACGACTCCTCTGCAACACTTACACCAGGAGAGTGTAGCCGAGGTTGTGAGGGGAGGTGCTTGGGATCTGCGCTTCCGCAAGCGGTCAAAGAGAAGGATTCGAAACAAAAAGCACAGTCATGTCCCAAAGCATGGAAACTCCTTGGTTCCGGCTGATATAGGGGCCTTAATAGTTAGAATAGAGTTTTGGGGCCCATTATACTATAATTACAATAAGGAACCCCCCAAAATAGTATTGGCAATTATTTATAGACTCCTACATTAGCCGCCAGCCGGTTTTGGAATGGGGCCTCAATTTGAGATTTGTCAGCCGTAGCAGGTCACAGATTTACTATGGGGGCCTTAATAATTAGAATGGGATTTTGGGTGTGTACTATACTATAAATATAATAAGGAACCGCAGAGTAGTATTGGTAATTATTTCGGCCCCTATATTAATAGTACAGATTGCCAACGTATGATAGCTCCCACACGAACTAAAGACCGGTTCCTCCCTGGCAAAACTTCTCAACGAAACGATCCGAGCCACAACAAAAATGGGAAATATACACCGCTTCTTGGGAGGCTTGCGAAACGCTGTATAGTCGTATTGCAAGAGTACTGAAGGATTTCGTGTTTCGCAGTGTTCTACAACAAGAACTTCGCGCGAGTAGCATGAATAATCTCACCAGGAAGGTTAATGTTAACAAGGCGCAAAGTTGTAATAGCAGCATCGCCACCTTTGAAGCAACAATGCCAGTGATTTTGATGAAGCCAGAAATGCAGCCTCTTGGCTGTTGAGAGTCTCAAGCTGCAAGGTAAGCCCCTGTCGCTTCTGAGACTCCGGCTGGACAAGCTGCTCCATCCGATCCTCGACCATATTGTCGATCTGATGAAGCTTTGCCCTGGAGAAAGCAGGGCTTCTTCGTACGAGGCGATTCCAAACAGGCCTCTTCGGGTTGTTGAGGATTTTTGGGGATCAGGAGCTGGTTCGTGTTTTTTGGGAGCCAGGATGGAAGATTTGTAGGAGAATTCATGTGAATTTTGGTGACAGAGCGGATGAAAGACTGCGCAAGCACATCATTGAATCATGCATGAGACTTTGCATGCATACATACATCCATGCATGGATGCACACATGCGTGCATGCATGCATCTGCTTACGTGTTTATCTATGCAGGAATGCACACACATGTATGGCATTTTATCGCTATTCAGAAACACATAAGCTCTCTCTGCCCCTATCGCCATCTCTCTCTTCTTAAACACACACACGGCTGTGTACATACATTCAATTACACCACATCACATCACATCACATCACATCACATCAAATCACATTCTATTACATCACATTGCATTACATTACATTTTATTTCACTACATTACGTTACATTACATTACACTACACCACACTACATTACATTACGTACGTACATACATACATACATGTACAGAAATTAATGTGTCTCGTGAACCTGCTACACACGAACACAAGCAACAATGTACGGCACATGTATGCATGTGTGTGCGCATGTACAAAGAGGAGTGTCGGCTCGGAGATCTGGATGGGCTGGAATGGACGGAAAGCTTATTACTGACACTGCTCTTCATGTTGTTCTGCCGCTGTCATCGAAACTCACGACGACCGTGGCCGATGCCCTTGACTCCGAAGCTCGCACCTCATACGATGCCGCACGAATACACCAACCTAAGCCGATTATGTAGCACTTCAGCCTCAGCTGCGAATGCCTACAACAGAATCTTAAACTTCGCAACCTTCTGATCCCTTTTTGATCCTTTTTGGGACACCTCCAAGCAATGCACTCTTGCATGCAGGACCATGGCCCGACCCCCTAAACCCTATAAGCCCTAAACAGAGCCTTCAACCCCAACGCGCCCAACGAATCCTAAATGCCCTACCACCCCAGAAATCGCAAACTTCCCTAAAAAACCTAAACCCAAAACCCAAAACCCCTAAGAACCCAAAACCCCTAAACCCCTAAGAACCCTAAACCCCAAAACCCACCCTAAACCCTGGTGGCAGACTAAAACAGCCTAGGAGCCTCTGGTTCGACGGGAATTTCGACTAAGCAAACTCGGATGATACGGGGCTACCGAGTTTCTACAAGGGGTGGGGCTCCAAAAAAAAATCGAAAGAGATCTCAGGATCCCCAAGCCCGAAGCCCAAAAACTACAAAGACTACAACACCCGGAAGCCCTGTCTCAAACCATAGGCCCCACATCTTTAACCCTGAAAACCTTCAGCCCAAACAAAGAAAGAGGATACAGTTACCTGATGTTCAAAAGACTAGTCTCCTGGACGACGCCGGACCCAACCTACCCCGCCCCCCCCCCCCACCAAAAAAAATAAAATATATATCTTCCAATCGCTAAGTAGCGATGCTATATCAGAGTACATCCGAAAACCTGACTCCAAAAATCCTTATTTTAACCATAATATAAGGGGCCCCAAAACCTTATTCTTACTATCAAGGCACCTATATTCCCAATATACTATAATAAGGAACCTAAGGAATAAGATAGGTAATTATGAAGGCCCTTATCCTATCAGGCGCAGGTGGTCGTCGCCAAGTGTCGGGGCCGTCTCTGGGGCCGCGAGCGTTGTCGCATCGCCGAAGTCGATGACTGCGACGGCACCCGCGGCGCGGAGAGGACCTGCCCAATGTAGGGGCCTTCAGAATAGGGTTTTTGGGAGTATATGATACTACAGTTATGATAAGCAAGGAACCCCCAAAATAGTAGAGGTAATTATGAAGGCCCCTGTATCAAAGGTTTCAAGCGGATTGGAGCCTGTTCGAAGGGTCGCGGCACTTTCTCATTTCGTAAGGCTATTTCTATGAGAAATCCAAATAGGCGTCGAATTGCAGGATGATCACAAGCTTCCCCACCCCCGCAAATTAACCTACACTAGCATTCTCCTAAACCCTGAAACCCTCTGCGTAAAACCTCTGTCCTAAACCCTGAACCCTAAATCCCATGTACCTACCTTTGGGCTCACCCTTAGAATCAGCAGAATTCGTGGCCAGACCTTCGTCGAAGTTGGCACCCATCCACTGGTAGGTCCTCGGCTTGCATACCACTGGGCTTAGAGTTTATGGTTTAGGGCTCAACTCTAAACTCAAAGCCCTGAAACTGAACGCCACTGCCGAGACCCGACATCAAGCTTACGCCATAAGCAGCTTTCCGGATTTCGAGGCTTATAAAACACTTTGGGAGTGTCTGGGAGCCTCTGCTTTCACAAGCTCATCCGACAAGCTAAACAGACGAGCTCCCACACAAAACCAAGAGGTGGGGCCAAGAAGCTGAAGACAGCAAACTCAAAACGCTACAGCTTCAGGACTTAGCGGTTAGGATTTGATATTTAAGGCCGAGAGTTTAAAGGGCTCAGGGTTTAGGGTACCTTAACCCGTTAAGCAGATGATTGCAGTTCCTGGACACCCTTCGAAAGACGCCACAACTGCGCTTGAAAACGAAAGCAATACTAGTGCCACATGCTGTAAGCCTGTAAGATGTCATCCTTAAGCCCAAGACTCGTTCCTGCGTCCCAAAGCCTGAACCTGACAAACCTCATCAAATGTCAAAGCTGGTTCCTGCAAACCTCAGAAGGCAGAACCTCATCAAATGTCAAAGCTGGTTCCTGCAAACCTCAGAAGGCAGAAACCCTTGCGAACGCTGACCCTAAGTGGCCCTGAACAGCAAAGCCATCCCAGGCACCATTTCACCTTGAAGTTCAGATCCCAGGTGTGCCGTAGTTGACCACGCACCTGCTGCGCACGCCCTAAACCCTAAACCCCTAAACCCTACACCGTGGTTTGAGGGGCGGCTTGCTTGAACTGGTGGGTTGCATGTGAGGTTTGGGGTTCCGTATTGTAAAATAGAGGGGCGTAAATAATTACCGATACTGATTTGAGGCCCCTTATTGTAGTTGAAACGTTCTAAAGGGACGTTTGGGGTTTCGTATTGCAGAATAGAGGGGGCCAAATAATTGCCAATACTGTTTCGAGGCTCGTCATCATAACCATATTATTCCCCTATATATATATGTGTGTGTATATATATATATATCATAGGGGGACTCCAGCTGCTGAGCATGTTGAAGGCTTGCTAGCCTTGAGTCGAAGGTGCCATCCCAGTTCTTAGTTGGAGGTTAGTGTGTAGTGTTTGGGTAGCCCCCGACCAGTTGAGGATAGGTACAAAAAGGCTTCATCTGGCTCGCAAAACCGTACAAAAAGGAAGAACTGACACCCTAAACTCTAAACCCTGAACCCCCAAACCCCAAACCCTAAACTCTAAACCCTAAACCCTAAACCCTAAACCCCAAACCCTAACTCCTCCAGGTGTCGGGTTGCGATGCAAAAGGTTCCAGCATTGCTGCGCCGAAACTGGGCCCCAAGCCCATGGACCACGTCAAATGCAGCCCTTTAGGGTTTAGGGTTTAGGGTTAAAGCCAATGGGCTTCTTCATTGTAGGTTCACATGCGTCTTAATCCTACACCCTCAACTCAGGGCCCAAGCCTCAACAATTACAATATGGTCTGGGGTAGTTACTATCATTGTAAGGAGGGAAGGCATTGTCAGTTACTAAATGTTACTAAAACCCCAAACCCTGTATACTCTTTACTGAAACTAATGGCTCTCCAAGCCTTCTTGAATATTCGAAGATATCGGGTTTCTAGTGTGGCACCTATCCGAAGCCTGGCCCACGCTGAACCCTGAACCCCAAAGCCCTAACATCTAAACTCTAAACCCTGAACCGTTGAAACCCTCAGCCACACCCTAAACCCTGAACCTGAAAATCTAAACTCAGAGGGTGCAGGGGTGCCATTACAATTGTGGAATGAGGTCCCCAAAACCATGGCGAGGATGATCTTTGCGGGCCTAACTCCATTCCATGATGGTGCCCTGAACCCCTGAGCCCTCGACTCATGGTACTACATATTGACACTCCTACTTGAAGGACCCAGAACTTCCAGAAGAAGCCGTTACCTGCGAAATGACACTTTTGAGGCCAGGCTTGGATTTAGGGTTTAGGGTTTAGGGTTAATTAGCTACACTAACTCCTTCAGGTTTCTGATTACCGAAGAAAATCTGCAGCCCACTTCTGGAGGAGCTCAGGAAACAGTACACTCAATACCCGAAGCCCGCGCCTAGAAGCCTAAAGCCTTAAACCCTAAAGCCCTAAGCCCTCAAACGTTAATCCCTAAAGCCCTTAAACCCACTCCAGGAACTTGTGCCTTAGCTTGTCGGGGAGTCTCTGGCGAGTAGGAGTAGAACCCATCAGCCCTAAAGTAGTTCCTTTTCTATACTGAACTTAGACCCCTAGCAACAAATATAATTTTAGCTGCTTCTTGGGGTTTATGGTAGCCAAAGATTAAAAAATATTTCTAAGTATCCCTAAGTATAAGGCAATCCCGAAAAGGAACTACTGTGGGGCCTATGGGGAACCTGTCAGCCCGAAGTCCCGGCAGGGCGTTGTTGAAACCCTGAGCTTTCGAAACGAATACTGAGGGAGCCCAAGAGCCCTTAATTAAGGAATACCTTAAGAACCCAAAACCCACTTTTTTGTAATAAACCCTAATATGGGATTTATAGGGACCCTACAAAAAAGTAGGTTTTGGGTTCTTAAGGAATATCGCCTAAACCATAATATGAAGCCCCCTTATAACTTGAGCCATATTCCTTAGGGTTTAGGGTTTAGGGTTTAGGGCTTAATTCAGGGGTATTGGGCTCTCTAGGTATTGGGAGGCCCTAACAGTTAGAGCAAGGTTTTGGGGTATCTTATCTAGGTTCCCCGGTAGCCCCTGGAAGATAAGGGTTCCCTTAACAAGGAGGGTACCCTGTTTCCTACTCTTTGGTTTTATAATAAGGGAACCCGACAAGAAAAAGAGCGAAAAAGGATATTGCTTGGGAACCGGGTATACTAGAATTGTAATAAGGAGCCACAGTGGTAATGGTAGTTAGTGAGGCCACTATATTGGCCCTAAGCCGTAGCTCTAAAAAGCCGATCTGCAAAACACTAGACATGTAAGTATCACGAAATCCTACACCCCCGGCAGCCTTGAAGGTAGATGCTTCTCCTTCGACTTTCTCAACGGCTGCCACAGAAAGCACTCCATTGGCCACCTTTCTGGTGCCACTGGCGGGGTGGGCGTTCGGGGTTTGAGGCTGGGGTCCCAGCTTCGAAGGAGGATTCCTTGTAAGGTCTTTCTTTTTAGGGTTTAGGGTTTAGGGTCTTTCTTTAAGGTTGTTGACATGGCTTTGAAGTGGTGTGGACTCGGGCGCCAAGTTGCGCCAGATTGATCGCGCAGGGTGGCATCTCTTTGAGGTTTTTGTGCATTTGCGGGAGGGGTCACTAGGCCGGAACCCCAACCCTAAACCCTAAACCCGACATAAGAAGACACTAAACTAACACCCCCGTCCTGCGCACACTCAAGCCGAAGCGCAAGTCCCCCACGGGCCGTACGAATATAGGGGCCTGACCAACTGAATGTTTAAGGTTTAGGGTTTCGGGGTTTAGGGTTTCGGGTTTTATCGCAATTTCTCAGACCTCTTGTCGCTTGCAGCAAGCCACATCGAAATCTGCATGATTGGAAAGCATAGCCCCTTCTAGCCCCCATATTGTACGCCCACAAACCCTGCTGGATGCTGGAACTATTTGGGCCCTTACATGAAACCCGAAAGCCCCATGAGACAATCCTTGCAGATCCCGGTCAAGAATATCAATCCCCCCGAACCCGAAAGCCCTCAACCCTAAACCCTAAACCCTAAACCCCTAAACCCTAAAGCCCTAACCCCTAACCCCTAA